GCCCGAGCGGGGGCGCTCGCGAGTCACAAAGCGGCTTGGCAAGCCGTTTCAGCGCCCGAGTGGGTTTTTGCGTACTGTAACCCAGGGTTACAAGCTGCAGTTTGCAATAAAACCTCCGCATTTCAACGGCGTTCTCTCTTCTCACACAGAAGAAAACGCCTCACACATTCTGAAAGAGGAAATTTCCTCCCTCCTAACAAGGGAGCGATTCAGATGGTGCCACCCAATCTGATAAACCATGGTTTTTATTCCTGGTATTTTCATGTTCCAAAAGGCGTGGCGCCCCCCCGCCCTATATTGGACCTTCGAGTGTTGAACAAACATTTGAGGAAATTCAATTTCAGAATGTGACACAAGCCTCTCTCGCCTGTGCCATAAAGCAGAACGACTGGTTCACATCAGTCGATCTGAAAGATGCTTTCTTTCACATAAGCATCTACCCTCCACACAGGAAATATCTTCGTTTCGCCTACCAAGGCGTTTGTTACGAATTCACAGTTCTTCCGTTCGGGCACAATTTGAATCCCCGAACTTTCTGTCTGTGTGTGGAGGTGGGCGTGGCGCCCCTGAGACTATCAGGGCTGAGAATTCTGACTTACTGGCTCATCATAGCCAAATCAAAGGAGAAGGTGTCGCTGGACACCGGCCGGGTGCTCGCGCACATCACATCCCTCGGGTTCAAGGTGAATGCGAGCGAAAACAATCTGACTCCCAGTCAGAATATCATTTTCCTGGGCTTGGAATTGAACTCAGTCTCCATGCGAGCGCGTCTCTCTCAAGAGCGCGTTCGCTCGCTGATGGACTGTCTGTCTCAGTTCAGTGAAGGGGCGAGAGTACAATATCGCACATGCCTCAGGCTGCAGGATCTCATGGCTTCATCTATCCAAGTTGTGCCACTGGTCTCCTGAGAATGAGAACGTTCACAAAATGGGTTTTGTACACTACATTTCAGCCCGATTTGCGATCTCTGCCGCTCGGTAACGATGACGCGCGCCTGCTCGGCGGCCTTGCGCCATTGGGAGAGCGAGAACTTTTACGCACGGGGAACCCCCCCTCGGGACGGTACGATGCGAAAAGTTTTGACGACAGATGCGTCCTTAACAGGCTGGGGAACCACCCAGGAAGGCAGAACGGTGAACGGTCTGTGGCTGAGCAGACTACGTTCAGCGCACATTAACTATTTAGAGCTTTTACTATTTGGAAAGCTCTGAATCATTTTCTGCCTTGCCTGCAGGGACATCCTGTTCTAGTACGGTGCGATAATACCACGGTAGTGGCTTATATCAACCGTCAGGGTGGCATGCGCTCGTCAAAACTCCACGCTCTAGCTTACAGGCTTTTGGTGTGGAGCAGACAGGTTTTTCTGTCATTACGCGTGACTCATGTCCCGGGCATTCGGAACAGAGGCGCGGATCTGCTATCGAGGGGAAACCCAATCCACGGGGATTGGCGTCTTCACCCGCAGATAGTGGAGAGGTTATGGATGAGATGGGACAGGCAGCCGTAGATCTTTTCGCCTCGCGCGAAAATCACCATTGTCCTATGTTCTTCTCGTTAAAGGACATGGACGCGCCCCTCGGGGCAGACGCACTGGCCCACCCATGGCCCAAAGTGCTGTTGTATGCTTTTCCTCCCCTGTGCCTGATAATTTTCACTCTGGCCAGGGTGAGAGAGCACGGCCTGTCTCTCACTCTAATAGCACCCAGGTGGCCCAAAGCCCCATGGCTGGCAGAGATAATCCCTCTGTTATACGCCGAGCCATGGCGCCTCCCCCCTCGCACGGACATACTGTCCCAAGCCAACGGGGAGATTTACCACCCCCACCCGGACAGGGTGGCTCTCTGGGCCTGGCCCGTGAGAGGACGAACCAAAATGCACTGGGGCTCCCGCCGCGTGTAATCGCCACTACTCAGAAGGCCAGGGCCGTTTCCGCGCGATCCCTATATGGCTGTAAGTGGCAAGTGTTCGAAGGGTGGTATGATGGGCGTGGTTTCACATCTTATCAGTGCTCGGTGCCTGATATTTTGTGTTTCCTGCAAGACCTCATGGAAAGAGGCAGGTCCTTTTCCACTATTAAGGTCTACCTGGCTGCGATTTTCAGCCTGTCATGTGGGTTTTGGGGCTCCACCGTCAGGCAGCACCCTCTAACCCGCAGATTTATGGAGGGTGCACGCCGCTCTTTGCTGGTCATCAGGAGATCTGTTGAATCTGTCCCAGAGTGGGACCTCTCCATGGTGCTGGAAGCGCGGTCTCTGTATCCTTTTGAGCCTCTGGGGAGTATTTCCCTTAAGCTGCTGTCCCTCAAGACAGCTTTGCTCTCGGCCTTGGCATCTGCTAAACGGGTCAGTGAGCTACATGCACTCTCGGTTCACCCCTCGTGCGCTAAATTCTCCCTAAGTGGAGATAAGGTTTTCCTTAAGCCTAACCCGGCCTTCTTGCCGAAATGCTTCCCTGCGTTTACGTCGGAGGTTTTGGAGCTATCCGCTTTTCACCCTCCACCCTTTGCCTCCCCGGAGGATCAGGGGCTGAATGCTCTGTGTCCCGTCCGTGCTCTGCAATAATAATGACCAGGACCAGTGCTTTCCGCAAGAGCGACCAGCTCTTTGTTTCTAGGGCTCCCCTGCACAAGGGGAGTCCCATTTCAAAGCAATGCCTCTCACATTGGCTTGTGGACGCTATACTATGGCTTATGAAGCAAAGGGAGTGCAGCCCCAAGGGGCATCAGAGCTCATTCCACAAGGGGCTTAGCCGCCTCTTGGGCTTTGTTCAGGGGAGTGCCACTGCAGGACATCTGCTCCGCGGCCAGCTGGGCCTCTCCTCATACCTTTGAGCGTTACTACCGGTTGGATGTCACCAGAACTTCGGTGGCACACTCGGTCCTTGGGGTAGGGTCCTCTTAGCCCTTTCCCACAGCCCCGTTTGGTTAACCAACGAGGAGTGAATGGGCCGGCTGGCCATGTTCATTCCTGTCACCAAGCATTCGCATTCCTTCTTGGGTTTAGCTATGTGCATTGGTGGTGCGGGGGCCATTATCATGTATGTGTCTCATGCATGTTTCATGCCCTGCTTGTCCACAGCAGTTAGCGTGGCGGAAAACTTGCAGGGTCATGTTTGTGGGACGTGTCAGGCACCGCCTCTCTGAGGTAACCGTCCTTCTCTGGCCTTCAGAACCTCACTGTGAGTGTATTGGGCAATCGGGGAGCTGTCCATGTCTCTCCCATAGGTGGATCTCGAAACGAGATGATGAAAGAGAACAATAGGTTACTGTCGTAACCCCGGTTCTCTGAAACATCGAGTGGAGAGATCCACCAGCCTTGCCCCGCTTGCCGCACGAGAAGCGAATATACTGACTGAGGAATAGCAGCGCGCCCAGCTGTGATATGCCCGTAGGTAAGGGGGTGTGGCCTCACCTGGCATTGGCTGCGCGCTTCTGTCTGTTAGCCAGACTTGGTGCAATTGGATGCTTCTGCAGAGGTCAGGTACGGATGCCCTTCCCATAGGTGGATCTCTCCACTCGATGTTTCAGAGAACCGGGGTTACGACAGTAAGCTATTGTTTTTCCCGCAGAATTGGGCTACTTATAAACTGCTACGGGTGCTGACCCCCCTGCTGTTTAGTGAAAATAAATACAACTAGATTATGAATTTTGTGAGAAAGGGGCCTTTGAGCTCCCTTATGAAAACAGGCCAGAAGTGATTGTCAAGATGAAATTGTTTATAATGCATAACAGTGACTGTAAAATTTGTATTTTAGGTATGGGATTGGCATTATCCCATACCTAATGGATAGTTGTGATATTATTGGGTCACTGGGCTTGTTTTGGTCTATTTTTGATTGGCCTTTAGGCTGGTTTTGTTACACAGACAGACCTGGCAATATTCCATTAGGAATAGGAATGGTTATAACGCCAGAAGGCAACAAATTACCAGTAAAGAACCACAGGGAACATTACAGTTTCCATTAAAACCAATACATTTCCCATTATAACCATTAAAACCATTACAAATTCTAAACTGTTAAAAAAAAACCTTGCTGCCTTAATTTTTTAATAACAATCAACTTGGATGTTTAAGTCATTACAACTTAACTTACATTAAACTGACTTAAGAAATTAGTTGAATCTTGTATAACTTATAGAAAAGGTTTAAAATTGCTTAACTTATTTTGATAATTTAAAGCAATGCAAAAACATATGTTGTCACAACTTATTCATCTAACCATTGTTTATTATGCCTAAATACTATAGATCCTGCCTGTTTTTTTAAAATAAAATAGTGGTAACACCACTATAAAATAAAATGACACACATTGTATTTTGTCAGAAATTATGGTTAGATTGAAGCCTACATTTTTGTGAGAAGAGATACAAAACATAATAATCTTAAATATATTATCTTATTATCTTATACATATTATCTTAAATGTTTCTTTGCAAATTTACAGCATAATAATTTACAGCAAAACACAATAGCTGGCTTTTTAATCATTTATGTATTGCTATACGGTAAAATCATAATAAATGCATGCGGGGTGTCTCCTTCAACAAGATTTTTTTGTTTATTTTTATTCCAATACTTTAAGTAGTAGGCCTATGGTATTTTGGGCAGCAATATCTGTTTGTCGGATTCGTTTGGCCTACTATCATAAGCGATGTGGGAGCTGAGAACATATAGCTGATGATCATGATGAGAGGGTTCCTCCTCCCTACACACTCATTGAACACATGCCCACCAGCTCATTCACAGTCACACCACTGATGCACTGATCAACGCGGGCTCCTGTGCAACCTGTTACTGCCAACACGAATGGAAAATATTACAACTCTGAATTATTATTTTTTCATTTTGTAAAGAATATTCGTTTAATGAAAGAAATCTTGTCAGTCAGAATCTGCCGACACTCGAATCCAGCGCGTGGAGCGCGGCTGACGTGCATTGAGTGACAGGGGTATTGATCTTAATATGAGTCGGGTAGTGGAACCTTTTTAAGACGGCATTTTCGACTTCGGGAATTAAACGACAGGCTTCGCACGTATACCCAGAGAAATTCATTATCAAGCCTGTTTAATTCTTCTGGACGTCGACTAAGCGGTAAGACATTTTCTCGTTCAAGAAGAGACGCTGATAATATTCCTAAATCACTGCCTGTCTGTCTTCATACACCATGAAAAGCTCGCGTGTGTTTGTTTAAACGATGTCTTTCACCACATTTTATCGTCTCATGCGCTTATCACATCCGGTAGGTGTAAAACCAGCATTGAGGATGCTCGTTGCTCCAATTAGTACCTACGCATTTAACAGATTCATCACACACAGTTAATGAAACAATGTGATTTAAACGGGTATTGTGTGAAATTATTAGCTTCCTAAGTCTTCAGAAAGTAAAATGTGACCTTGGTGTTATGAAAAGCTCCAGTACAGCTGCATATAAGGGAAAATGGGACTGTGAAAACATCTTTTTTTTTCCAGTGTCATGACTTGAGTAATGAGCCATTGTCAAAAATATGTAAAATTATATAGTAAATGGAAAATATTACAGTAAAACCTGTTAATTAGTTATCTGTAAGTTAGTTTAAGATATTGTAACACAACTTTTACAAAAACTTAGTTCACCCAAAAATTCTGTCATCATTTACTCACCCTCGGCCTCGTGTCATCCAAACCTCTAAGACTTTTGTTCATTTTTGGAACACAAATGAAGATATTTTTAGTAAAATAAGAGCTTTCTGTCACTCCATTGACAGCTACGCAACTGACACTTTGATGCTTCAAAAAATTCATAAAGAGATTGTAAAACTAATCCGTATGAATAGAGTGGTTTAGTCCGATTTTTTTTAAAAAAGACACGATCACTTTATATGATAAACAGATTTAATTTAAGTTTTTATTCACATAAACATCCATCAACTCACTCATCAGTTGTGGTAAACAGAAGCTCAAGCATGTTCACTTGATGTGTGAGAACCGATGAGGTTCATTCTCGTGTTATGGAGCACGTTTGAGCTTCAGCAAGAACCAATGCGGTTCATTCTCTTGTTATGGAGCAAGTTTGAGCTTCTGCAGGAACCAATGAGGTTCATTCTCATGAATAAGGTTCACCAATGAGATTCATTCCGCAAGAACCAATGAGGTTAATTCTCGTGTTACACAGCAAGTTTGAGCTCCTGCAAGAACCAGTGAGGTTAATTCTTGTGTTACGGAGCACGTTTGAGCTTCCGCAGGAACCAATGAGGTTAATTCTCGTGTTACGCAGCAAGTTTGAGCTTCTGCAAGAACCAATGAGGTTCATTCCGCAAGAACCAATGAGGTTCATTCCGCAAGAACCAATGAGGTTCATTCCGCAAGAACCAATAAGCTTCATTCTAGTGTCACGCAGCACGTTTGAGCTTACGCAAGAACCAATGAGGTTCATTCCGCAAGAACCAATGAGGTTCATTCCGCAAGAACCAATGAGGTTCATTCCGCAAGAACCAATAAGCTTCATTCTAGTGTCACGCAGCACGTTTGAGCTTACGCAAGAACCAATGAGGTTCATTCCGCAAGAACCAATGAGGTTCATTCTATTGTCACGCAGCACGTTTGAGCTTCCGCAAGAACCAATGAGGTTTGTTCTCGCGCATCAAGCACGTTCGGTTGAGCTTCTGTTTATGTTCACTTATGTTTCGGCTATATGTGAATAAAAGCCTAAATTCAATTCGTTCATCATCGTGTCTCTTTAGAAAATTTGGACTAAACCGCTCAATTTAAATGGATCAGTGGTGTGGACTTTCAATGGAGGAACTGACTGGCTTAGATTTAATTGAAAATATCTTCATTTGTGTTCCAAATGAAAGTCTTACAGGTTTGGAACAACATGAGGGTGAGTAATTAATGACATAATTGAAATTTTTGGCTGAATTAACCCTTTAAAGGGATAGTTCACCCAAATATGAAAATTAGCCCATTTACTCACCCTGAAGCCATCCTAGGTGTATGACATTCTTCTTTCAGACGAATACTTTCGGAGTTATATGAGCGGAGTTATAATGAGCGTTCGTCATTACACTGTGCGTCAAGTTCAAGGGTTACGCTTTTGGCGTAAATCGATGCGTAGGCCGTCTGCCCCGAAGCTAGTTATTTTAGTCAATAAAGTTTTGAATATGGATATTTTTCTTACACTAACGCATCGCTTCGCTTCAGAAGGCCTTTATTAACCCCTGACGAGCCGTGGAACTCTTTAATCATGAATAGATGCGCTTTGATGGACTTCCAAAGTCATACAGCCATTCACTCCTATTATCAAGCTTGGAAGAGCCATGACCATTTTTTAATACAACTCAGATTGTATTCGTCTGAAAGAAGAATGTCATATACACCTAGGATTACTTCAGGGTGAGTAAATCATGGGCTAATTTTCATTTTTGGGTGAACTATCCCTTTAATTTCAAAATTCTGAATTACTTTATAATTTACATTAAAATGACCACAGAAACTGATTTCGCCAAGTACATGTTCCAGGTTTAACATCTTTGTTGATCCTGGAACAATATTCCATTCAACCAATCAGATTTGAGGGTCATATGTACAGTTTATGTCAAATTTAGTCTTACAACCAGGGTTACGTGTTTCTACATTGTTTCACCTATCATTTCCCTCTGATTTTAGGGATAAGTTACACGTTTTATTGTCATATGTAGTGTTTGTCTTTATGTGCTCTGTCTTTATTATTATTGACCACAGTTGCTGGAGAAGTCAACTTTGATGAAGTTTAAGTCATCGTGTGGCCTTCCAGCGAACCACCTGTGTTATTCCCAGTAATTTAATTACATTCAACAATAACAAACAGAACTAATAGCTCAATAAATGGCATCTCATAATGCTTGTTACATCTGACAACCCTAGCAGTTTATAATAAATTATGCCACTCACTCTGTTTCTTCACTACAGGCAGCGTCCCAGCCGTATGAAGCAAGCACCCATTAAGAAGCAATGCTCTTTTCCTACAATTTGCTGATAAGGACTTGGCGGTTGTGAGTGGGGTTGTGGCAGCAACGCTGTAACCGTGACCCTTGCCAATATGGTTTGCAGCGAACAGAGTTCTGGCACATCAGTGCCCAAAAAGGAAACGCAGACCCGCAAGAAGCGTAAATCCCGCCCTCAGGGTCTGCCTTCTCCTGCCCTTTGCTGCGCATGCGGATTGTGTATTATGTTGGCGGGCATCAACATCACCTTAGTGGGCGCCTTCGCCTTCAGCACGCTTGTACCCTCTAGCAATCCCCCAATCATCATCGGACCGATACTCTTGCTGGTGGCGTTCTCCTTCTTCGGGGCTTGTTGCATCTGCAGCCGCTTGCCTCCGCCTCAGAGCTCTCGTCGGTCCAAAGCAGGTGGCGGTCTGGGCTTTATGGGTCGGGGCGGAGGGGGGTTAGGTGGAGGGGCAGCATTTGAGATCGAGACCAGCGAGCACACAATGCAGGACACCACAGCTGTGCAGCTCAGCCCCACCAACTCCCCCTGCTCCTCTCACGCCTCCAGCCCTGAAAGAGAGGCTCCCGCCAATGCCACCGTCCCCGCCCCGGAGTACGTCCCTCCACGAGCCTGCAAGCTCTTCACTATGGAGGCCAACGGACCTAGCTCAGCAGCCTTTTCTGCATCTACAGGGGGTGGAGGGGCGGTCCGGCTCACTTTACCCTCAGACTGCGCCGCCACCTAAAGCTGCCAATTTCGTTTGCTCTCTGGAGAAGGGCTGGTATTACGTTATGTAAATAGTTTTTCAGAAGGGAAGACAAGCACTGTGTGTGAAGAATTCATTTGATTAGCACAGCTGGCTTGCGCCACAAGGTGCAATAACAGTTGAAACGTTTGCATAAATCCAGCAGGTTGCTTTTTGGAGTCCACGAGGCCCAAGCCATGTGTTCCTAATAAAAATGACAGCGGTATGTGAGAAGCATATGAAGAGCTTTTTGTGTTCTCTTATGCTCTCGTATCCAAAGAGAGAGAGCCTTGAAAGGTGAATCACTGTGGCGTGCTTCACATATTCATACTGTGCCACTGTTACTCAGAGCATTCACAGTTACTGCGCTCAAAAGAGACAGAATCAGCTGTTGTGTAAAGATGGCTTTGGAGACGAGCCTAAGAAACAGAACGGAGAAAGACATTAGACTGCGCATTGTCATATGTCAGTGCACAGACCAAAAAACAGAGATGTTGTATATTTTCTCTTAAATATTTTGTCTTTGTCATTTTAAACACTAAAATACATTCAAGGGTAAACAGTCTTTTTTTTCCGATGACACTCTGTGGCCGAACACTTTGGATTTTGTCTTTATCGGATGCTTAAATAAGCCGCGACACTGTGCGAAAGCTCTGATGTTTTTTTTCTTGTGACTTAGAAAACGAGGTTGCTAAGCAGTGCCATAGTTCGAGTTCAAATTGGACAGGTAGTTCGACTTCAATGACAGACGGAGTAAACACTTTTATAAAAATTATAATTATAAGCGTATCCGCGTTATTCAGCTGTACCCGTTCTCTTGTTGCAATTTGTTTGTTCTTGAAAGATGTGACATTATTTAATGAACCAACAGCCCATTTTTCTGTAAAAAAGAAACTAGCCACAAGGCTTCAGTCTTTATTTTACACTGTGGTTTATAATGCTGCCAAGTAAAACGATATTTCTTTCCCTTATGATTGCCAAAGGCTGTTTTCTCCTCCTAGTATCCCTCTTCTGTTGTCAATACTTGTCTAACATCAACAGCACAGTGACATCTGAATATACTGCCTACATCTGCTCACAGTATTCTTCCACAAAATGTCTCACTGTCTCTGTGCCCCATGGTTTTCCTTTGCCATTTGAAAGCAAGAGCCAGAATTGTTCTCAAACATGCCCTCCATCACTGACCCACAATGATGGTTCAAACCAAACAGCAAAATAATTTCCCTCATGTTGATTCTACCAGAGAGGTCAGCTAAAAGCAGCTTTCGGTCGCCGAAAAAGCAAAGGACATTATACAGTTATAATTTAAAAAAAAAATGAATACGATCTAATTTAGTTTTTAAAAGTAGCTACGGTTTTAGATTTTCTCTCGTTGTCATATTCATCAGTTCCAACCAGGTAAAAGGGCTGATTTTTAGTGTAATAATTCTGTACTGGTGTTTCTTTTCATTTGCATCCGTTTATGTACTTTCAGCTGTGTAATATAGTGCTGTATATTTATTATAAGTCATATGGGTGATGAGTGCAGAAGAAAGTGCAATATGTACTGCATGCTTACAAAAAGTGCATCAAAAATCCTCAATGAATTCAAGAGAAACATTAAACTAATTGATCCGCTTGTTTGTCACAGGATTGTGAGCTTTCCATGTTTTAGGGAAACAAGAGAAGTTGGTCTGAATGAATTGAATGCTGCCTTAATAATGACAGTGATCTCAGGATCAAACCAGTGAGGGCTACTCAAATGTCAAATGAGAACATTTGGTTATGTGATATTACTGTGTTTATAGGGATGTGTTGTTCATTACTTTCTACCATGTGTGTTTTCAAACAGGTGTTTAAATGGAGGGAAGTGCAATGAGATGTGGGTTGAAAGGTTTTGATAATGCTGATTTGCGTTATTGTTATTAATTTGGCAAAAGGCCACGTTGAGTAAAATGAAGAATGGTGAGTTGTTTTAAGTATTGTTGGCACTGAAAAAATGAATTGTGTGTTTTGTAAGTTGTACACATCATAATTATACATTGTTTAACTCCCACATGCATAATTCAATTAGAATTGTGTCCACACCTGTTTTGACTCCTGTCTTTTCTGAACCCTTCTCTTTGATCTTTTGACTATATCTGTGATTTTTTTTTTTTTTACATTAGATAATGAAAAAAAACACTATTGGCATGCCGGAATATACATTAAAAGCAAGATTCTTAAATGCTGTTTGACATTTTGTCATTTCAAGCAAAACTGCATTTGATGTAACATGTGGCTACAATGGTTGCGAGGCTGATCCCATTTACTTCACTGGACTGATGCTATAAATATGGATAGCTCTCTCAAACAAGAGGTTCAATTACTTTTCACATATGCTTACCTGTTAAGAAAATAGTATGTGAAGAAGCAAGCTCATAGCTGAAACTGTGTTATGAACTGGGATGTTCACTTTCTAGTCACAAAACCAAATTCAGCCACTAGAGTCTAAAGAAAAATCATTCCGTACAATGTGATTCATACAGATTAAAGAAAAAAGAAAAAAAGGTAAGCAAGAAGGTCCACCCCTAAATGTAACTAAAAGTGGGGTGTAAGCAGATTGTACAAAAACGTACAAATAAGATCGTTCAAATTCATATGAATTAGCCACCAATTCACCAAAACATAAAATAGTTACAAATTGTTATGAGCGTTGGCTTTATAAGAGGTTCACAAGATAGATGTACTTACCATCTTTAACGTTCCCAAAAAATTCACAATTCTTGCTTTTTTTATGGAATACTGCATTCATCATTTCATTCATTTATTTATAAAGCATAAATAAACACATTGTGTAATGTAATCATTATTAATGATTTATCTGTGCACATCATTAATTTTTTTTTCCCTAAATTTATGTCAAATTCAGCATGAAGATGTATTCACTGGTGCAAGGGGACATGAAAAAAATCACACACTGAAAAAAAAGTGTTGTCAGTTCAATTTAGAAAATGTACTTCATGTGGTAACATCTAAAATAACTTGTTTTCCACCTTGATGTAAATACACTTAAAAAAATGTATTCATTACCCTTACTTAATTGAAGACATTTTTTTACCCATAACTTAATTTAGTTTATTCAAAATAAATCAGTTTAGTTGGGTCAACAGTGTCGTTCATCATTATGCACAATGTAATCGTAAGCCTAAGATTGTAGAGCGTTTGCCCCCAATGGTCTCTACGATCAACTTAGCTCACGATGCTTTTAAGAATTGCAGCCCTGGGCAGTGGATCCGTAGTTCCCAGCATGCTTTGCAAGGTACTGCATTAGGAGAGTAAATTTATGGAATAAGTAAGTGTAATTTTATGTGTTTTTCAGTAAATGGAAAGATGTTGATAGTTTATGTTAATGTTTAATGTTCAGTTTTGTTGGACATTTAGAGGAGTTTCTGTTATTGAATTTTGTGACTACCATTGTGCTGAAGAGAGTGCTAGCACTGTCTATACGCTGATTTCACGCAGCTGCCATTTTGAAATCGAAAGCGAGGCTCCGGTGGGAAGAACCCCGGAAGTACAGATTGACAACAATGCCTTGGACTACCAACCTGAAGCTGCTGCCGCGATTTACACGGATGGATGTTAATATCCAATATAGGATATGTCTATAGTTCGTTCCTGCTTCTTTTTTTACGTTCTGAATTATATATAAAAATTTTTTTATTTATAAATGAATTTCACTGTATATAGTCTAAAGTATGAAAGAAATGTATGTACATTTTTAGAATAACTAATTTCTAAATTAAACACAACAATACGCCATCGCATTCGCGACTCTCCTATGAATAAAGGCGACACTTCCAGGTTTCTTCCCACCGGAGCGATTTCAAAATGGCGGCTGCGTGAAATCAGCGTATTGTGATTTTAACTTTGATACAACATAATGTAAGCTATAAATATGTAAATATATGTTATAATGTAAATAATAACTCCAAATCACAATTTCTCATTGAAGCAAAATTTGCCAATCAGCAAGGAGTGGACAAATACAAACCTTTTCTTCTTATTTGTCCTTTGGAGCATCTACTGTAGCGGACACAAGTCATGACTATACTGCCCTCTATAGGTGTGGTGCAGTCGTAGTGTGCATGTGTCCATCCTGAGCTTTATTGGAAATTGTATATTGGGGTCAATGTAACTCAATTAAGTTAAAACAGCATACCCTTGTTTTATGTTACATAAACCTGATTGAATTAGGTTACAACCACAACATTTTAATTTAGGTAGAATCAGGTGGAAATACCTCCTTAAACCAACAACTGCACATGTTCACTTTTTACAGTACAGCAATAGCAAAACTATCCAACGATCCAATCAATTCCTGATGAACAAAATCAAGTCCCGCCCTAAATTTTTTCTTGTTTGAGAAGCTGTTTCACTTGGATATACATCACAATAGGGAAGAAAACACTATTGCAACTTCTGTTTCATGCCAACTACTAAGAGTACCACTAGCCTCCAGCTGAATATCCCAGTATATCAGGGCTGTCTTCCCCTGAAGGGAAATTCAAAAAAATCTAAATTGTACGAAATGTAAAAAACCCCTACAATTTAAGACCAGCAACGCTGTACCAGTAAGAGTTGAAAAATGTATTATGCGCTTGTTTGTAAGGAAGTTTGGGAATTATTAACTTATGCTGCCTTCACGTGCTAACGGAATTTTCCTACTTCCTACTTCTGAAGTTGTGATTAAAAGTTTGTTGCATTTAAGTGCTGTGTTGTTGGAAAGAACAGAAACCATGGAGGACACCAGGTTTATTCTTTCCTATTGGGAAAATCGTATAAAAGCCAACATGATACTTAACATCCCATTCATTGGCAAACATTCACCACGCTATCTATGGTCAGCTTGCTGACGATTCTGGAATTTCGGTCAAATACAGGCTATTTTTGCTGTGTATAGGCTAATACATATAATAGGCTTCACATGATTATTCATATATGTAAATATGCACTAGTTTAACAATGAGACAAGGCGATGTAGCGGTTGTGAAAAAAAACCTAATAAAGAATAATCACAGCAGCAAGTTGGAGCTAAACTCGGCAGGACAGTGGCCCTCCAGTTGTGACACTGCGAAGTTGTAATGGCTATTATCTTGGTAACTAAAAACAATAGGTTACTGATCGTAACCCCGGTTCTCTGAAACATCGAGTGGAGAGATCCACCTATGGGAAGGGCATCCGCACCTGACCTCTGCAGAAGCATCCAATTGCACCAAGTCTAGCCTGACAGACAGAAGCGGGTGTCCAATGCCCGGTAAGGGACCCGGCCCTTACCAAGTGTATAAAACACTAGCACGCGCTATCTTACCTCAGTGAGCATATTCGCTTCTCGTGCAGCAAGCGGGGCAAGCTTGGTGGATCTTTCCACTCTATGTTTCAGAGAACCGGGGTTACGATCAGCAACCTATTGTTCTCTTTCATCATCTCGTGTTCGGTGAATGGGAGATATGGACAGCTCCCCGATTGCCCAATACACTACAATGAGGCCCTGAAAGCCAGACGACGGTCACCTAGAAAGGCGGTGCATGACACGTCACATCCACACAACAAGTGAGGAAGACACATTAGCAACAAAGAATAGCATATGGTAACATGCATTCGTGAATAAACCTGACCACACTCATAATGGTGAATATATGGTGCCAAGTGCAGGTTAGAAACATGCTTAGTGACTTTAAAAGTGCTGGACTAGGCAGC